CCCTTTCCGCTGACTGCGGCGTAATTCTTGGGAGCAGCAGTAGCTCGGGGTAACCCGGCTGTCCTCTCCTCCCGAGCTTCTCCGATGCGCCTTGTTTGCCTTGCTGCAGCCTCTCGGTCGAATCAGGGCCCCCATGTTCTCTGCTCCGCTGCCTCAGATCAGCACGCCCATGTTCCTGCCCCCGGCTCAGGTGGCTTACCCTGGAACGGCGTCACACGTAAGGCTGTTTGGCTTTCCTGCGGCGCTTCGCCATCCCCAGGGGAAGGGGAAGGGAGGGAGGGGGAGGTGTTGGAAAGGATGAGCCGGTGAAGGTGGGACCTCTCGCCTCATGCAGCTACTTGGTGAGGTAGAAGGGAAGGGTTAGGGGCACGTGTCCTTTGTGCTCGCGCTGGGGAGAGGGGGACGGCCGCAAGAGAGGCGTCCGAGGTTCCACCATTGTGTGATGGCTGCGGGTAGAGGGAGGAGTTGGGCAAACTGCGGCCTCGGGCTGGCGGGATGAGGAGCTGGAATATGGAATACGGGATCTGAGATGGGGCGTCTTACGGCCGTGTCCATCTCCTTTCTGTGCCCTCGCTGCTCGTCCCAGACCCCAGCTGCCTGTAAGCTGTGTCTAATGTGCCAGAAGCTCGTGCAGCCCGGTGACCTTCACCCCATGGCCTGCTCACACGTGCTGCACAAGGAGGTGAGTGTGCTTCCCCGGGGTGAGTGTGCTGCTCTCGGGTTCCTCGTAGCGATTCCGAAGGCCGATTCCCCTCCAGGGGCCCTGGGCACACAGAGTGCCACACTGTGTTCAGAACGCCTTTCGAGTTGCGCCAGCGGCTCCTGACTAATTCTCTCTCTTCCAGTGCATCAAATTCTGGGCACAAACCAACACAAATGACACTTGCCCCTTTTGCCCAAGCCTCAAATGACGGCTACTCGAACAAAGTGGTCCCGTGGGAGGAGTTGCTGTGAATAGACAGGATCGGTTCTAAGATTTCTACAGTTCTATATTTATATGACCATGTATACACATGTACATTTTTATTATATAGGTAATGTGTGTATAGAAAGTCTGTATACATACAAATTCATAAATAAAGTGTGTATATTATGCAGTGATTTGGTGCTGCTCCCCATTTCTTAGCTCGCAGCCTCCCTGGCTTCCTCTCAAATGAGCGTTCAGGCC